ATTAAAAACCATGAGTTTTGATATATATATATATATATATATATATATATATAATTTTTAGTAAATATATAATTTAATAAATATTAAAAAAGATTAAAAAAAATTAGCCAATGGGAATAGAAGAAAAAGTGAAAGAATGAGCTTCCTCACATTTTTCTCTTAGTGAGATGATGTTCATCTAAAAGAGAAAGTTTCTCTTATTATTTCCATCACACATATCATCCAGCCTTATTGATGGATCATAATATTAAAAATCACTGTTATAAAAACATAAATAAAACAAGTTAACCGAAAACCTCGTTTTTTCTTTCCAACATACATAATAGTCTCTTTACAATAGTAGTAACCTTAACATTACTTTAATCCTATAAAAATGAAGTAAGAGTAGGTAAGAAGTACACTACCCTTACCGATGGTAGATACTAGATAGTATGTTTACAATGATTATCTCCGACATGAACATAAATACAAATAATAATAATAATAATAATAATAAAATATAGAAAAAATATATAGAGAAAAAATTTCGTTGTAACATCCACCCATAGTGAAAAAACTCTTGTAATAGCTTCTAGATATAAACATTATTCCAAGATAAAGAATATGAGAATAAGCAATAATATATAACTAAAAATATAAGCAACAAAGTTGCTATATTTATTTATTTTTTCAAACGGTATTGTTGGGCAACTTCACGATTTCTTTATATGTATCTTCTTTTTCTCCGCTTCACATTTTTGGCATCCTTCTGAAATAGTTTTTCTATATATTTCAACGGATTAAATCTCCACAATCGTTTCCATGGTAAGAAGTACACAACCCTTACCGATGGTAGATACTAGATAGTATGTTTACAATGTTCATGAACATAAATATAAATAATAATAATAATAATAATAATAATAATAAAATATAGAAAAAAATAGATAGAGAAAAAATTTCTTGTCACATCCACCCATAGTGAAAAAACTCTTGTAATAGCTCCTAGATATAAACATTATTCAAAGATAAAGAATATGAGAATAAGCAATAATATATAACTAGAAATATAAGCAACAAAGTTGCATACATTTATTTATTTTTTCAAACGGCATTGTTGGGCAACTTCACGATTTTTTTATATGTATCTTCTTTTTCTCCGCCTCACATTTTTGACACCCCTTTGAAATAGCTTTTCTATATATTTCAACGGATTAAATCTCTATAGTCGTTTCCATCATCGACACAAAAATTACCGAAGATGAAGATGTAGACATTTTTAAGGAGAATAAAGGTGTTAGAGTGGTATAAAATGGTGTTTAAGGGTTTTTTTTTTGTTTGTAAAACTAGCCGGTTGATTGGTGAGTGGAAGGAATAAATGGGAGAGTATACTCAGTAATAGTCTGTTGAGTTGGACTGCCGAGCAGGTATTGTCGAGTTCATGGCACGGTGTGCGCCAAGGCCATGTCGATGATCTCAAACTCCCTTCCGAACCACTCCATATAACCTTATTGGTGTAGACTAGATATGATATGTATTGATTTCCCACTAGTAACATATATATATATATATATATATATATATATATATATATATATATATATATATATATATATATATATATATATATATATATATATATACACACAACATAAATGTCTAATTGAAGTCAGCTAAACATCAACTCCAAACATTATCGCTATGCTTAATAATAAAACAATAATAATAATATCAATGTCTAATGCGCACTAAAATATATCGAAATGAATATTTTGTCTTACATTAAAGATGAAGTTTATGTTCTCCATGGAGTGTCATTCCAAATAGATTTAAGGCACCGAGCAACAAATAAATAAATAAATAATAAGACGTTTAGAACACCTCCAACCCTACATTAATTTTTACACCATATTTTACACAAAAAAAATATTTCATATTATATTATTTTTTTTAACTTATATAGATTTGTCTTCATTCAACTAAATAGTTTTTAACACATTTAGGTACATTTTTATTTTATTATTATAATTATTATTATTTTATGTGTGAAAAAGTATATAAAATATATCTATTACAAAATTATAGCAAAATTAATTATTTATATATTCCTATTTCGAAATAGATGTATTTTATTATAATGAGATTTCTTAACTAAAAAAGCTACATAAATTTAAAACATTAGAAATAAGTTTTACAATTATGACTAATTAATATTAACTTAATATATATACCAAAAATTTTGATTAACTTTTGAGTAAATTACACGAATGGTCCCTATGGTTTGCGGTAATTTGCGTGTTTGGTCCCTAACTTATTTTTTTAACTCGGAAGGTCCCTATGGTTTGTTTTTGTTACGCGTTTGGTCCCTACTGTTTAATTTTGTTACGCGTTTGGTCTTTGTCTTATCTAAAAAGACTATTATTTAAAGAGAAAAAAATGATGGGGTAGGTGAGGTAAAGTGAGGGGGTGGGATTAGGGTGTGTTTATTTAAATAAATTAAAAAATCACAGGCAAAATAGTCTTTTTAGGTAAGATAAGGACCAAACGCGTAACAAAAACAAACAGTAGGGACCTTCCGAGTTTAAAAAATAAGTTAGGGACCAAACGCGCAAATTACCCTAAACCATAGGGACCATTCGTGTAATTTACTCTTAACTTTTATAATTACAATTAATTAATAGCATGTTAATATATGTTTAAAATTGAATAAGGACCAAAGAAAATGAACTAAAAGTGGTGCATTGAAGTTTTGCATCATTTTGATATAAATAAATGGTAGGTGTTATATTATTCTTTTATTTCAAAATGGTGGAAAATAAAGTGAGGTTGAAGATCACTCCATGTCAAAATGATGTAAAAATCTAAGGTTTGGTGTAGGATTGGAAATATCCTTATAGTAACAAAAGTTAGCAAAATGATTGACTTTGTTTGTTTTTTGACAAAATTGAAAAAATGGTCCTTGTGGTTGTTAAAATTATGTAGTTTTGGTCCAAAAAAGTTTGGTGGTGCACCAGTGGTCCAATTTTGAATCTTTTTAGTGATTTTGGTCCCTATACACTTGAAATTACTTTTATACCCTTATAATTTATTTTTTCTATTTTTTGTAATACTTTAATTAGTTTAATTTATATATTTTTTTCATCTTAAAACAAAATAAATAAATAAATAAATATATAACCCACTACTCTTCCATCTTTATCATAAAACCCATTCATCACTAACTCCACCTCCATAACCGGTGCAACCCTCTTTTGTCCAGAACCACCATCGGTGGCTGCTGTTTCGCCTGAAACCACCTCCGACGCCCACCATTTTCGCCGAAAACGTAGGAGACTTCTTTACGGGGGAATGTTATTTTTTCACCGGAAATTATAACAGGAAGTGTGAGTTTCATCCAAAACCAAGACATCCAACGAACACCAAAACTCCGGCGAGCACCTGACCTCCAACACAACCCGTATAATCGTCCTCTTCCTTTTCTTCTTCTTCTTCTTCTTCTTTCTGTTCCCCTTTTCCATTTTCTGAAGACAAACACCAAACTCCTTCGTCATTGTCAACTACCAGCATCTTCGTCACTTCTCCCTCCTCCACTGTTCTCCTCTGGTTCTCATTCTCCTATATCTTATGACCACTCATCGAAACATGGCTTCTAATGGACGAAAATGGTGGAGTTTCTCTAAAATCACGCTCTTTAAAGCCACCATCAACATCATCCTCCATTGGAGCTTCTTCCAAGTCCTCCTGAACTAGTTTTTGAAAATTAGGGCTTGTGTATGACCGTTCTTCTCTTCTTCTATAGGGGGCTCCGTCTCGTTCACCTTCTCAAGTTAATTTCTGGTGCTCTACTGTGTTTGACTGAACTTCTGCACAATGGATCTGACCACCACCATTGTTGTCGCATACCATCACCATTTGTCACCACAAGGAAACCATAGCCCTAAAAAATATAGATCGGGACCACCGATGAATGAAGAAGGTTTCCGTTGGTGGTGTTTTCTGGAGATGAAGAAAGAAGGATGGTCCCGGTTGTGGTGTTTTCTGGTTACTGTGATGAGAATAGTGGTGTTCAAGGAGGAAATCGGGAGGTCCATCGGTGGTTCTTTGTTAAAATTTTGGAAGCAATCTTCAAAATCCCTAAATCAAAACTGAGTGGTGGTGTTTGGAGAATGGCTACCGAGAGAGAGAGAGAGAGAGAGAGAGAGAGAGAGAGAGACAGGGGGGGGGTAGAGTTATTTTATTTTAATCTTTTAATTTATTTTTTAATTAAAATAGTAATAAAAAATTAAAAATAAATAAAAAAGAATTATCAAAGGGCATATTCGTCATTTCATGTTGGGTTTGGACCAAAAACACACAACAATTCCAACTATAGGGACCAAAACTGCATAAGGTATTCGAAATTGGACCACTGATGCACCGCCAAACTTTTTCGGACCAAAACTGCAGAATTTTGACAACCACAGGGACTATTTTTGCAATTTTGTCTTGTTTTTTTTAATGAGTCATTGTTATAAATTTCTGGCTTGATCTTTTTGTAATAGTATTAGTTGTTTGTTTTTTTTTCTTCTCTTCTTAGCACCATAAAACTATGTTTTGTAGGCAACATGTTATTATTTTAAACTTAGAAAAAATAAGACAAAAACAAATAAAGGAAATGAAAAAAACATAAATTAATTTTTTATCAGAAAACTAACATAAAAGAAATAAAAAAAAAAACAATAACGGGATCTTATAATTTACATGAATCAGAAATCGGATTAAAACAAAACATAAATCATAAATCAAATCGATAAGGGTGTCTGAAATCATATTAATATGAACAGAATATCGATTTTTTAAGAATGCATGAAATCAAATATAAGAATCGATCTATTAAGAAAGATTGAAATAAGAAATTAAAAAACAGAAATAAAAATAGAAATTAAAAAAGCAAAGGTTGCATAAAAATACCATAATCAATTTATTATGAATCAACTGATTTATTACCGTTGAAAAATCAGAATTCATTCATAGAGTCTCTTTTTTTTTTCCTGCTCAATCGGTATAACATAATATCTTATTTTTTATACTAACATATACATAAAAATAAGATCTATACCAACATAATAAGATATATAAAAATAAGACCTTGAAGGCCATAAACCATGGTTATGGTTCATTCTGCCTCACCTGCCCGTTGGCAGGGCAATTCTCCATGTCATGTGTCAGTACCAAATCCTAGACGTGTTTGATAAGATGAAGCTCATGTTCTCCGTGAATATTTTTGCAAAGGCCTTCCAAGCATCTTCTTGTTTAATAAATTTCGCAGCAATCTCAGCATTTGGCTTCCGCTTAACTTACGGGGTACTATTAGATATTTATATTATTATTATTATTGTTTTGTTATTAAGCGTAGCGATAATGTTTTAGAGTTGGGACTTTCCTTTTAGACTTTTTAAAGAAAAATCAATACAGGAGTATAGCTTCCATTTAATAAGTGGTTTCTTTTGTAAACAAAATCCAACTTGAACCACCCTTAGTGGCCGAACGCTATATAGTCCTTTCCTACTCAACATTGATATTGATTTTCGGTAGAACCTTCTACTTTTCTACAAAATTCAAGTTCTTGTGTTAAGCTACCTAATTAATTTAGTAGAACTTAATCTATTTGATCTATCTTTATGTGATTAATCTGTGATCGATTTCGGGTTTCCATGATACTTTTGGGAGGTTTAACGCCATGAAAGATCGCCGTAATCGTTGTCCTCTGTTCGTCATCTCTCGGTGCGCCTTAGCTCTACTCTTCTTATCTGGTTTTACTTTCTCCACTCATCGACTTTTTTTCACCGGTAAATAGCTTCTTTCATGATTCTTAGTAGCTTTATTTAGACTTTTTGTTGAAAATTGATCATGATTACAACTTTTGAAACAGAGAGGTATCATCCAAATTTGGTAGCTTCATGGATAACATCAACAACAGAAGCTATATCCACTGATTCAACGGCGGCGCGTGGTATATCCATTGGAGAAACGGTGCTGTTCCCAGACCAAGTAATGATTTTACTAAAATACCCTCCATCGAGTCCGCTGTTGACGCAACACGAAATCGACTGCGTTTATTCTTCTCCAAACTCATCCCGGAGATCCTCGCCGTTATCAATCGGCGGCGCATATCTCGATCATCAGGTTGTACGTTGTAAGCTTCCACCACGTGGCATGATCGCGTCCGTCAGTTTGAACCCCCACGAACTCCTCCCGTCGGGCCCCACACACGACTGGAAGTCGTTAGCATACGAAGCCATGATCGACCGCGACAACACCACCGTTGTGTTCGTGAAGGGACTCAATCTACGGCCAGGAAAACCGTCCAACGCCTCTAAGTTCCGGTGTGTGTACGGCTCTGATTTCTCCAACCCCAAGTTGCTGCTCCGATCAGAAGTTGTGTCAATAGCTCAAGAGATCGTACGGTGTAAAACTCCTTCGAGTCTTTTGAATGTCTCACTGAAGAACGACAACAGTAGTCCCATCAAAGTCTCGATCAAAATCAATGGAAAAGGTATTCTGGACTCCATTGCCCGACCCGACTTTCAAGCCTCACCCGACCCACCCGTTTCTATTCAACATCGGGTATGTGCATGCACCATGGTCCGGAACCAAGCCCGTTTCTTGCAAGAATGGATCATGTACCATGCCCGAATTGGAGTTGACCGTTGGCTCATATACGACAACAATAGTGATGATGATATAGAAAACATCATAGAATCATTAGTAAATCAAAATTACAAGATTACCCGGCATTTATGGCCTTGGATCAAGACTCAAGAAGCCGGGTTTGCCCATTGTGCGTTACGCGCCCAGGATTCGTGCGAATGGGTAGCATTTATCGACGTGGATGAGTTCTTATATTTGCCATCTGGGGTCCACTTAGAGACCCTAATTAGAAACCAAACTAGCAGACCTGAGGTAGCAGAGTTACGAATATCATGTCATAATTTTGGGCCATCCGGTTTGAAAAAGATCCCACCAGAAGGAGTCATGGTGGGATACAAATGTCGGTTGGGCCTACCCGAGAGGCACAAGAGCATAGTTCGACCCGAGAAACTGAACCCGTCATTGATCAACATGGTGCACCATTTTGATCTAAAGGATGGGTTCAAATACGTGAATGTGGATAGAAATTTGATGGTGATTAATCACTATAAGTTTCAAGTTTGGGAGGTGTTTAAGGAGAAGTTTTATAGGAGAGTGGCTACTTATGTTTCGGATTGGCAAGATGAGGAAAATGTCGGGTCTAAAGATAGAGCCCCGGGTTTGGGGACACGGGCGGTTGAGCCGGTTGACTGGACAAGTCGGTTTTGTGAGGTTAATGATTCGGGTTTGAGGAATTGGGTTTTAAAAAGGTTTAGTGACCCAAATACTGGGCTATTGCCATGGCAGAAATTAGAAGAAAGAGTTTTGGGGAAGGCTTTATAGTGTACAGTACACTTGATCTAATGGTATATAATTATGTAATGTGTATATATATATTGCCTTACTATATTTTGATTAACTACTATATACTGTCAAACTTGCTGCTCTTCATTCTATTGAACAGAAAAATATATTGGAATTTGGAAATTGTGTTTGTGATGACGATTTATTAAGGATTTTATTCTATAATCCATTTAGAAGCTAATGCGAAGTTTTGCTTCACGGACACCTTCTGAATAAGAACATAAAAAACAACATAACAGAGAGGCTAAACAAACATCACACGTTATCTTTGCATTCATCATGTGTTAAGATATTTGACCACGTAAATTTCCTATTAGTGCTCTTATCTAAACACCTAGAATTTATTAGTGCTGTTATCTAATTACCTAAAATGTTGAGAATTGGAACTTCGTTTTAGAATTACAAAATCAAATAGTTCAAAACGGTGAGTCGGTGACGAATCTAAGATTTTTTTTGTTTTTTTTTAATGATACTATCCTAAGCAGATACAATACCAAACATCAAATATAATTTTAAAAAATACAAATAAATATCTTATAAATATTCACAACAAAATTTTATATTTTGAAAATAATATATAAATGCATTGGTGCTGATACTATCTAATATATATTTCTCAATATTTTGATAATCATATAAGTTATATTTGATATAAATCTCAGCATTCTTTTTTCCTAACTGTTTTATGTAAATGCATTATAATCAAGGTTCTAAATGGCATGAGTACTGAGGCGTGACATGGCGGCAAGGTCAAGCTTCAAACTTAACGAGTCATGGCGTTTATCAAGACGTGATGTAAGGCGATGATTTTATATTAATTTAAAACTATATTACCACATAAATATAAATTTATATTAAATATAACTATTTTTTAGAAGTATTAAATCAATAACTAATAATAAAAATTTAACAAAAACCACAATACTTGTATCTCCGATTAGAAAAGACATAACAACAAGCAAAAAACCATGTCTCAAACGAAAAAACACGCGTCATAACATGCCATAACGCGTCACGGTGCGTCATATCACGTATTGCCACGCGCCACGCCTAACAACAAAGTTATGAGACTTTTCATAACGGCGAAGTCACGCCTCATGCGATGGCGCGCCTTTTAGAACACTGATTATAATTAAAACTGAACCAAAATGATGGTTTTGTATATAACTAAAACAACACTCCTATGTTATTAATTAACCTTTTTATGAAAGAGCATGTCATTATAAAATGTCAAAAATACAAGAAACGTTTTTGTATACATAATTTGCATCGATTGCAAGAACTGAAGGAAAATTAGACGGCGGGTCCCTTCCAACGTGTGTCATGTTTCCATTATTTATTTAGGGGCAACACTTTCGATCTTAAAAGTGACAAAATTTTATAAAAATGGAACAAAATCCATGCAAAGCCAACATAATGGTTGTCTTTTTAATGGTACAAACATCAATTTATGGCATCTGCATGAATGAAATGCAATTAAAAGCCACCTACTAATGGCAACAAGCTTTCGTAATAAAACAAACCACCCATACATCATGATGTGTGTATGTGATTTGATAGCATCATTTCAAAATAAAATAGATCAAAGAAAGTAGCTGTACAAACAAAATACGTTACGTTAAATCCCACAAATATATTCTAGTTAACTATTTTATACTGTTTTTGACTTTTTTGTTACTAATAAGAGTCGTGACCCCTAAGTGAGAATGTGAGATGTATTTCTTAACCCATATAGAACTGTCATCAGCACAAACTGTATCAAATTCATGAACACAAACTTTGGAGTCAATAATCAAGAACTGGCGCTTCAACGTTTACCTTTTTAAGCTCACATGCGTAAGGTGGGATTTTATTCGCACCTAGTTGAAAACCATTTTCAATGGTTAGATCTCAAAGTCCTTTTGTAATCATATTGTTATAATAATATAATTATGACTATTTTAATATTTTACTTAGTGACGTTTTTGTGTACTTTTGACATAACCATCTTTTATGTTTACTTTGTAGTTTAAACTATATATATATATATATATATATATATATATATATATATATATATATATATATATATATATATATATATATATATATATATATATATATATATATATATATATATTCTCAACAAAAAGAATAGTAAACTTATCATTTTTTGGCAGAATTAATCCCTACACTTTGCTCCTTGTTTTTTATTTATTTTAATACTTTTGGTCCTTCCAATCAATATTTTTACATTTTTTAGGAACCTCTTAATATTTAAAGTTTGGCCACAAAATTTTAACGGTTTGACAAGTTTGATCCCTTTTTCTAAAAATTTGCTAATTAATACCCCTTTAATTCTTTAATCGTTTTGGCACTTCTGATCCTTGCAGTCAAAACTTTTACATTTTTTTAATAAAAACATGAAAAAAACGGTTCGGGTCAAATCTCGGGCTTTTCATTATTGCACTTTCTACGTCTGTCATATTTATCGATTTGGAAACAATATTGAAAGCTTTTGGCACCCGCATAGCGTGGGTAACATTTCTAGTATATATTAAAGTTCTTAAGAAAAGGAACAGTGAACTTGCCATTTTTTTGGCAGAATTGGTCCCTATATTATTGGGCTTCAAAGTTAGGAATAGTAAATTTGGATTTTTTTTGGCAACTTTACTCCTCATTCTTTACCCATTTTGACACTTTTGGTCCTTGTAATCAATATTTTTACACTTTTTAGGAACCTTTTAATATTTAAAGTTTGGCCACAAAACTTTAATGGTTTGACAACTTTGATCCCTTTTCTAAAAAGTTGCTAATTCCTATCCTTTTAATTCTTTAGCCATTTTAACACTTTCGGTCCTTGCAGTCAAAACTTTTATATTTATCGATTTGGAAACAATATTGAACTAAAGAGTGTTCTCTGATCAGTGTACGATGCAGAGGAGTTTTAGGTTTGAGTAGCTCTAATATTAAGTTTTGGAGCCTAGTGGTTAAACCGGGGCAAGGCTGGGGCCTCCGCCTCTGTCGAGAGATTCAGCAAGGTGCGCAGGAGATATGCGCAGCAGACTCCAGAGGTCAGAGTTGATTCGATCTTTGATCGAATTGTATTTTTCGTATGAGGAGAAGAGAATTTAGTGACTTGCGTGTCACTGGGCCGGAATATTTGTCAAAGGGAGGAAGTTGGTGTGATATCTTGGGTCATGATATGTGTGACCTTTGGAGGTTCAGTTGTGGGGTCAAAAGTTGATCTAGTGTTCAGTATCGAAGAGGGATATGAGAAAGGAGGTAGAGTTTACCTTGGTGATGTCTGAGGACACTACAGAGCAAGCGAACGATTCAGACGCTCGAGGACATACTTCGGGCATATATATAATAGATTTCGGAGAGAGTTGTGGCACGTATTTACCCTTGGCAGAGCTTTCCTGCAACAACAACCATCAGTTGAGCACCAGTGTGCCACCCTTTGAGCTGTTGTATGGGAGGAGGTGTCGTTAGATCGGTAGTCATTGAGCAGTGTGATTGCGGTGGTGGTATGGAATGACATCATGTTGGGATGACTGTTGAAGACGCGGAAGGGATTCCGTGGGTGTAGAGCCAAGAGTCTCAGGATGGATGCAGGGATGGAGTCTAGGACTCCCAGCTTGATTCTGATCAGGGAGTCGTGTGTGTAGTGGTGGTTTCCCCTGGGGATGTTGGAGATGTCGTCAGTGTGACTGGTTTTCCTAACTCGAGAGTGCGAGGACTGGTGCAGCATGTGCGTGTGATTGCAAAAAGAGGACTCGTGGGAGTTACTCTGAGATTGAAGAATGGGTCTTTCGGTCAGCATGGAATGGATAGAGTGGGATACGGATCAGGGATCCGGTGGTTCATGGTTTTCTAGCTCTTATGGGTCGAGTGATTGTTGAGATTTGGAGCAGTGATGCATCATGGGAAGTACTCAATTGTTGTGTGTGGATATCAGAGGGTAAATCCGGTGCCCGGGTTGAGACGGTGGTCAGGACACCGCAAGGAAAGAGAAAGTGAGTTCGAGTTTCGATGGGTATGCCTTGAGGAACCTGGTCCGGTTAAGGCCAGGTGGCGTGTTGTGGGAGTATTTTTGGAGATGAGTTGCCGTAGGCTTCGAGGACGAAGCCTAATTTATGTGGGGGAGAATTGTAACACCCCGAAATATCAAGAGTAGAGTTGAAGGGCTAAAAGTGTAAATCTTGAAGGGCAACTCGGCGAGTAGGGTCGCGACTTTGGTCGTGTGTCAATTGGCCTACTCGGCGAGTCCAAAGATGGACTCGGCGAGTAGGTGCTGAGTGGAGAAAACCCTAATTCTCGGGGTTGAGCCCTATATAAAGAACTTAACATCCATTCCCCTAGCCTCTTTATTTATCCTCAAGTCCAGAAACCCTTAGCATTCGTGTGTGTGTGGATCAAAGTGCATTTGGGAGCTTGAAGGGTATTTGTTAAAGAAATCTTGGGAGTTTGGAGGCTTGGAGCAAGGGGCTTTGCTTGGATTCGAGTTTCATTGCAGTTGGGGCGTTCTTTTGAGGTAATATCTCGTTCTTGGGCTGTTACTCATATGGATTCATCATTTTGGGGTTTATGGGGAGCTTATCTTGGGATGTTTTGGAGTTTGGAGGTTAGATCTGAGGTTGCTACCTCAGATCTGGAATGGGGAAGGTCTAGAGTGCATTAAAGTCCCTGTGTTTGAGTGCTTAGTGAAGCCATCATGTCCCAAACCCTAGCCCTAAAGTGTATAAGGCCTAGATCTCTTTGGATTCACGTAAAGTTTGCCACTTTACGTGATGGATGGGTTGTAGGAGGCTAGATCTATGTTTTGGATCAATTGCATGGCGTGGAATGCTTCTGTATGGATTCAGACCGGTGGTACTCGGCGAGTCACATGGGTAGACTCGACGAGTTGCTTGAAGATGAGCTGGAACTCGACGAGTTGGATGAACAACTCAACGAATAGGTTGAAGATAGCCTTAGACTCGGCGAGTCTTGTCGAAGAATCCCAATATTTTCTGGTTGAGTCGAGAATCGGTGAGTCAAGGGATGACTCGGTGAGTTAGGTGCGAGTGGACTCAGAGTTGTTGGACTCGGCGAGTCTCGGGGTGACTCGGCGATTCAGGTCGCGGATTGAGGGAAGTTCTGAGCTTGGGGACTCGG